TGACTGGTCAATTGAAAAACATTCCAACCATTGTTTAACTCCCCCCCTTTTTTTAAATCCCTAGAAAATGGGAATTTATTAAGCAGCTGTGTTGTGTTCAAGGATGGAGTAAAAATATTTCAAATGTCTTATTTGGAATCTGCCCAGAACAATCACTCTACCTGACCTCACCTTGTTCAGGAGCTGAGAATTTGCTTTTTCTCTCTCTCCCCCCGCCGTGTATCTGTCTCACATACACATACAAGCACACGTGCAATTTTGCAGCCATAATTTTGACCCACAGTGATGCACTGCTGAGAAGATGGGGTGGGAGCCATTTCTGGGAGTGGGATCTAAGGTCCTCAAGTCCCTTCTGGTTAGGGACCTGCTGAACTGGCCACATGGTTTTCCCCAATTAACTAATTTCTCACTAATCTAAAGATCTATTTAGAAAGGTGTGGAGGATGGAGATTTAAAGATAATCTCTAATTGGTCTGGAAAAATTCAGACCATGACACCTAGAAACCCTCCTTTTTCTCCTTCATTCTCACCCTCCTCCTCCCTACCCCCTTTGCTATCTCTTTCTCTTATTTTGCCTTCTAGAAATTAAAAGGTGGACTTCAGGGGAACCCTCAGGGAGAGGAGGAGGGAGAGAAAATGAACTTTTAAATTTTTATTGTGCTACATACCAATAGTATTTATAACCATCCAATTAGCTATTTTGTAAAAGAATCACATTCAGGAAAATCAACCTTCACCCAGATTGCAAAACTTGGAAGCATACAGACAAAACTGATACAATTTATTTTCATACCTTAAAAAGACAGAGTGTAGATTTTCAGAGTTTTTTCCATCTGCAGAACAATTTCTTTCAGCTATGTACCCTTTACCAGAGCTAAGACATCCCTATTGACAAATCCCTCTCTGGATGGAACCAAAATTGGCATCTCTCAAAAAAATAGTTGATCCACCCTGAAATGGATGAATCAGCCCTGATTGGGTGGACATGCCCTTTCACCTCATCGTGTCTGACCTATCACTTAATTAATCTTTCCCAGATGCAGAGCTGTTGACAATGCCAACGATAAGCAGTATTTGGAACAAAGCAGGAAGCCTTTAAAAGAACAAACCACAGTGAGGTTTGAGGCTCTTAAAGATGTGTAAATTATCAGTCTTGGGAGTTTTTTAGAACATAGCTGAATGTCAGAGATGGCCCCATCTTTCTAGAAACTTTCTATGCTTTTCTTTAACCACTCATATCTATGTACATTCGTTTTCTGCCTCTCCCCCTCTCTGCTTCTGCCTCGCTTTCTTCTGCCTCTCCCTTTCTCTGGATTCTGACTATCCATGGTTGGTTTCCTGAAATTTGTCCTTTGCTTCCTAGCCTTGTCTTGGGCTCTTCGGATCCTTTTTATAACATTAGGGCTATCAAGTGAGGTGGTCAGCTTCGTAGACTTTGGGTGGCAAAAAATTGACTGCATTGGCTAGTACCTATGAACAACGTTTGTCCTGGAGGCACATTGATGACATACAGGGGATAGTTCATTAATTAAACAACTTGCTAATTGCTGCTTGAATTACTATATAGAGAAACGAAACAGTTTATAAAAGATGACAATTTGAGGAAATCGTCATTTTTTGCTGAATAGATTTTCATAATTCATAAACAGATCCTAGAAAATGTGTGGCTTTTACTCATGCTTCTATCGTCAACTATTCAATTGAGCTTCAATTAATGGTAATATATGGTCTGGGATCCTTAGCTGGGCCCGACTGATGGAAGAGCTTTGTTGAATCTGGTGCAGGTGGCACTGTTTAATAAGCACGGGAAAGAGAGACTAATGTAGTGCTTGCAAAGAGAAGTAAATGCAAAATAGATCGCTCTAATTATGGCTGCCCCTAGAAACGGAGATGCAAGCTGAAATGGTCAACTGGCTGGGAAATTTCAAACAGACTCGATTGTCCACTGCCTGTCCTCCCCACTCCCCCTTCTTTTGAGGGCTGACACAGTAGCTTGGAAGTCAATTTGGATGAGCTCATCTGATTCCAAACAAGCACAAATTAAAAACCTGAGTCTGATGACCTATCAATGTCTGCCTTAACTATCTAGGACTCCTTTACCAGAGTGCCAAATTTAGTTCTAGCACAGGGCCATCTTAACATTTCTTCCTACCAGAGACCCATATAAGCTCATGGCAACCAGTTTTCATATTTTATTGCAAAATGTCAGGAGATTTTGTTTGTGTTTTTGTTTTGTTTTAATTTCTTTATGCTTAAGAAAATGAGTCTATAGGAAATCAAAGTGTAAATACTTAAGCAAACAGAATTTCCCATATACCTGCAAGGGCTCTAATGATTTTCATTCATGCAAAGATAATCGATGAGACATTAGTTGTTTTAATTAATGGAAGAATAAAAAAAATGTTGGGGGAGGGGTACCCAGGAGCTAGGCTGCACAGAAGTATCTGTGGGAAGTGACTCATTCCTCACCTAGAGACAATGGTAACTTCCTAAACAGCAATAAAGATTTGCTTATCAGACCCAGGGAAAGTTGGACTGGGCTAGGCTGGGAGATACTAAGGGTCATTCTAAGAGCTCAGGGTGAGAGATGGTAGCCATGCTGGTCATTTCCCCTTCCAATCTCACTGCTCTTCTTGGAAGAGTGCTGGCTCCATACTACCTCTAAGATAAGAAGCCTCTGGACTTCCAAGGAAGATGCAATTTGGGTGTAGCCTCCTGTGCTTTGTGATAGTAAAACCCTGTTAAAGCTGGGGAGCCCAAAGCAGTATCCTTCTGCTAGGATGAAGGGGAAGGCTGAGGTTGGATGGGATGGGTGTACGAGGTATGAGATAGTCCCTATGGCAGCAGTGGTTTCAGCAAGTGGGTGCAGACTTTTGTCCTCTGTTGAGGGATCCAGGTCCAGCACCTTTAGGTAAAGAAACTTTTTGTTCTATGGAAATGTTTACCAAACCTATCTTCAGGCTAGTGAGCACTGGCTGGGCACCTGAATCTAATACTGCTGCTGTATGTGAAGCTCATAAAAGATTTATAAAGAAACTAGTGCTTCAAAATGGAGTTTAGGGTTGTCCTGCATTCAGAGAGGGATGGAGGAGATGCCTTTGAATGAAGAAAGACTGGTGTAAAATTTTCCGGGATCAAGTGCATGGAGATAGAAGACATGTCAGCTACCCTGGGAGTTTGTCTATCCCCCCATCCCCATCTCCACCTTCACTTTTTCCTGCAGAATCTTCCTCATTCTCATTTAAGCAAATGTGGTTCCCTGTGTGAGAAAATTTGTTGCACTGTGTGTGTGTGTGTGTGTGTGTGTGTGTGTGTGTGTGTTTCAATCTGAAAATCTTGCAGAGCAGAGATTAGATAGTAGAATGCCCTCTCCAGGACTGGCTGTTATTCTGGACTATATTAAAAAAAATCTTTCAGATACAAGATATAAGCTATAGTCATATTTGATGAAACAAGAGGCCTCTTGTTGCAATATTTACTTTTTCTTCAAAGGGAATGTATATATTTTGTGGAAATTAGCTGTGAGGGGATACAGTTAGCTATTGTGTATTTTGTTGAAATTCTTCTTTAGGAATAATTTGATTTGGCAGATTTATATTGTTGGCAATGTGATTTGAGGAGGGCCCAGATACAAACTTTCCACACCCTAATCAATAATGGTAAATCGTTTTGCTGAGGTGAACAATCTCTGACCCTAGTATTCATATTTCTTTTACCAATTCCCTGTAATAAAATTGAACATTTTGTCACCACTTTGAGAAACACTGCCAAACACCTTAAAACACATGTCACATGCCAGCAGCCCCTCATTTCCCTCCTCCGGGAGTTTCTACATCTGGAATCATAATCACAGATAAAAACCTTGACAAAATTGCATCTGAGCACATTCCTCTCTGCAGCCCTTACTTTCTCATAACATTTAATACAATATTAATACATGCTACCGAAAGGCAGGAGGGAAGAAAAGGGCTGCCAACCTCCACGTTTCCTGATGCATCATGTTCAAACCTGAAATTCACACTTCGTGTTTCATTTTAAGTTCAGTGCATTTAACAGGGCCCTAGAGAGAGAGCCCTGGTTAGTTCCCCAACCTGCTCAGCTGACACCCAGGGACGTGGTTTCAGAATTGTTCAGATTGCTGCAGGGAGAAGAGGAGGAGGAACTGGGTTCCTGTCTGCCTGTAATGGGCTAAGCCACTTCTCTGTTCTGGTGTCACAGACCTAGGACTTCTCTTGGAAATAATGAAGGTCCCACTGATTTTTATTGTCCATAGTGGTGATCAGCAGATTCTCTGTATGGTGTGACCAAAGCAAGGAGCTGATTTCACAGAGAAAGAGGTATGTCTGAGCAGATTTGCTACTGATGGACAGCCTCTCCTCGCATCAGTGTAAAGCAATCTCCCCTTTACTGAAGAAGGCCCAGGAGCCTGGGGATGGAAGTAGTTGTGGTTGAAGATACAGGGCTTTCCTGCCATCCCTGTGACCCTCACCCCACCTTTTCTTGAAGCTGCCTCCTCTCCACATTCCTGTGCCTGGTGGGGGGAATCATGTTCCTCCATTCTATAAGCCAGAAACAGGGGTTAGGGAGAAGAGGAAAGTGCAGGAAGTGTACCCCATTGGGGGTCTCCTGGGAATGTGCCAAGATAACCTAGAGATGGACTTTCAAATGTTGGTGGCTTTGTTCAGTTGATGCTCAAAAAACAGAGCAGGTGTGCCTTCTCCCTTTTTAAAAAATATGAGCATCCAGGGTTGTCCAGTAACCAGCAACCAGCATCAGCCACAGCAGTATCAGAGAGAGAGAGAGAGAGAGAGAGAGAGAGAGAGAGAGAGAGAGTATTTCCCTAAGCAAGACCCACTTTAGTAAGCAAGGAGTGTAATTTGCTGAATGGTTCAAGCAAGCACAGAGCCTCATACTTTTACTCAGAGAACAGAGGCAACAGAGGCAGGCAACTGGCCCTCTGACCACAGCCAACAGCTTTAAGAAAACAGTCCTTTCGGCTTCCAGGCGGGGAAGAAATGCTGGTGTCTCCTCTTTCTCCTCCACAGTTGTTATTCAAGAGGTTTTCCCAACCCCAAACTTCAGCTCCATCCTCGGAGTTTGAGGTCATCAGTTGACTGTACCTAAAGGGGGAGCCCCAGGCTGGAGAGTCTGGGGCCAAAGGGGGCGGCTGTCTTGCGCAGAACCCTTCCCTGGTGGCTTTAACTGCTTTTCCCTCGGGGAGACTTCGAAAGGCTGCAGAAATCTGGGCGCCCGCTCGCTCGCTTGTCAAGAAGCAAACTGTCTTCACATTCTCCAAGAGCAATTCCCTGCCTAGGAAGAAGAAGGAAAGAGGCAAAATAAATAAAACCAGTTAATGTTGTAGTTAACTTGCAAATCAAGTAAATCTGTTGGTGCCGTATTTGAGAAATAAACCACGAGCGCGTCACAGCAAACACACACTTCTGAACGTCTTCATTTTGATTTAATGGTATATCAGCGTCAACTATCGCTTCCTCTGCTGGTACACTCGGCCTGATGCCGCGGGAGGAGGGTGCCCATGTTTATCACCGAGTGAGATGACTAATTACACCTTGTCAATCACCGGCTATGAAGACATAAAACCAGCGCGCACAATGAAGTAGTTGCCTGCAGCGTCAATTAGTTGGCGATTCCGAGGTTATTGCGTGGCCCTGCTTCGGCCGCCTCTAATAACGGGACGGAGCGCCGGGAACCAGCACGCTGATCAATCACCCTCCTTCCGCGGCTCCCCGCGCCCTCCCCCTCTCCCCGCCCTGGCCTGGCCTCACTTTCTCCCGGCGGCGTGCGCTTCCTCCCTCTGCGGCCCCGGCTCGGTGGCGCCGGTAGCCCCGGGAGCCCCGGGAAGTTTGCGCGCTGCAGCTCCGCAGCCGGCAGCCGGGAGCCCCGCAGCCTTCGGGGAGCGCTGGGGCTGGTGGCCCCTTTGTTGGAGGAGGCGTGGAGGGAGCGCTTTTGTTCTGCGTTCGTCACGGTGGCCGGCTGGAGGCTGCTACCTCATTATGCGCCGGGTAGCTTGTCTGCAAGGAAGCAGATGGTGGGGAGGTAGGCAGGGGCAACAGTGGCCAGACCTGAATTCCGTTCACCTGTCACCTCCCACAAAAAGCAGGTTGTGGGACCTAAGGATGCTTTACTCCTAACCCAGGGAGGGGGTCCAGGGGCCGCCCTTTCCGGCATCTGTGAATGTCCCAGTTACCTGTCCTGGCTGAATCCCCCCACCCCGCCCGCCTTTCCCTGGGCTGCGGTTCCTCGCACCGTGTTCATGTCACTCACGTGTCAGGATATGTGTTTACAGCCTGTTCTTCGCCTTGTTTAGTCTCTGAGGACAAGGCTCAGCGGTTGTGCGACGTCCCTCAGCCACTGGGGAAGATTAGCAAAGTTACCGGCCTCTGAACCCCGGGGCCCGGGTGCCCAGATGCCGCCCCGCGGCGAGAGATGCGCTTGAGCCTCAACAGACGCGAGCGCTGTCCTAGCCCGATGCAGAGAGATAAATAGGAGATAGCGCCGGATGGGCATCCCAACTGCCGGGGAACTGAGGGCCAGTCCAATAAGAGTCGGGGCTTCTGGTTAGAGAGGTGGCGACGGAAGGGTTTGTACATCTATGAGTGAGAGGAAGTGAGGAGCCGCAGGGTATGTGTACCTTGAATTGCTTTTTGGGCAAAAGTCCCTGAGTACTTCCCCCTTACTCCCCCCCCGCCCCCCCCCCGCAGCTCCTTGAACACAGCCAGCACCAAGGACAAACACTCCAGGGTTGCTATGAAATCTTTTCTACCCCTTAAGTGACTTCCAGATGAACCCTGGTGACTCCTAGATTGGATTTTCATTCCTTGCTTTCTTTGAGAACTGTGTCCGAGACACCCCATGCTTGTATAATCTTGTAGGTGTGTCAGCTTGCCTGGGCAGGGGTCTATGCAGGCACAGAAGCACTCATCTGTGTGAACACGTGTATCCAAGTCTTTGGATGGATGGTCCTTTCCTCAAGTTAGGCCATCTGTGCACGTGCAGCTTGTACACATGTACTTGTAACTTCAAGAGTTTTTGTAAATACTCCTGATAGGAGCACACACAGAGATTAAATGGGATCCCCTGAGCACACAGGGTTAGTGCTGCTGTTCAGATGCGCCCTTGGACATGGTGTGCATATGCAGACCCTAGCTCTACATTAGTGCTCCCAGTGATCTTGCCAACAAAGACAAAATTCATGCTGGCTGTATTTTTGCCAAATGAGATAAGCATCAGCATTTTCACACATGAACATGAGCACATGTCCTTGGGCACCACAAGTACACTATATATTTATGTGTTAAAGTTTTCTACAGTATGTGGAAAGGGTGACTTCATGTTGCCTCAACTCTGTCCTTTGTAAGATAAACTGCAGGGGTCCTAACTTCACCTTCTTTGTGCCAGGCAAGCAGATTGACATTTCAGACTGACATCACTACCCCTCCCCACCTCCAAAATTAACTCAGCAAAGGGGGCTCAGTAACTGACTGGCCCACTTCAGTTTTCCTTCAGAATCTTATTTATTTTTTTAAGTTCCTAAGTCCCTGCGCCACCAGACACCCGACCATTGCCCTAGATTCCCCCAAGAAGTTCCAGACCAGCAGCTGGGATTTGCTGGAAAGCTAAGTTATTGTTGGTTCTTGTGTAGAAGCAAGGCAGTTGGGTGGATTAAGATACTATGGGATGGGTGTGGAGGTGCCAGTGGGATGAAGTCCCCCATAGGCAGAGAATGGGTCTTTCAGAACCTCTTGATGCCACATCTTGGAGTTTTGGATAGGAAAGAAGAAAGGGAGTGATTATGATTAAGCGATTTGCTGAGTGTCTGCTGTGTTCCAGGCATTTCCATCCCATCCACGATCTCCCTTGTTCATCACACCCAGGAGGAGGGGACCATCTTGTCTCCCACGGAGATGGTCTGAGACAGGCTAAAGAAGGTTGAGTCACTTGCTTAAGACTGCATTGCACGTACATGGGAGAGTTGGAACTCCTTGTTTTTTCTGAGTTCCTAAAGACCTCCTCACCCCCACTCTTCCAGGCTGGAGGGGAACGCGGAAGAGCCAGGAGGAGCAATGCGCCTGGCCGGGTATTGGTCCCTAGTTTACTGGGAGCCGGCATATGCAGGCTGGCTCTCTTCTCAAGGGAGTCATTGCTCCTGCGGTTTTTGAGCCGGGACCCCAGGAGGCCTGCACCGCTGCCCGAAGCGGGTGGAGTGGAGCCCTAGACTAAGGCCGAGCTGGGTGGGATATAGCCTGAAGCCTGAAGGCTCTCGAAAGTCCATTCCAGGCCTGCCTTCTCCGGCCTCCCCTTACGGTGCCCGAGGCCAAAGGGGAGAGGGGAGTGAGACCTCGAGCATCCTTTGACTGCGCCTTCTTAGGATAGAGCCAGCCAGGAGAGAGGATTTAATTTTCCTTCCAGAAGAAACACAGGAAACTGTTTGCAGCTTAAAAACTCAAAACCCCGAGCCCTCCCTCTTCCCTCCCTCCCGCCCGCCTGCCTCCTCCTCCTCCTCCAGCCTCGCCCACCAGCTCCCACCATCTCCTCTGCTCTCCTCCTCTAGCCTCTCCCCACCCTCTGGGTCTCCCGCCTTCCCGGAGCACGCGCTGCCAGGGCCTGGGGCGCCGGGCGGCCAATGGCACGGCGGCAGGACGTGATGTCAGGCGCGGCTGTAGAAAAGGCGCGGAGGCTTGCGCTGGCGCGGACTGCAGACTCGGGGCTGGGCTCCGCGCGCGCTTGGAGAGCCCTGCGCTCGGCTGGGCCCGCGGCCTGCGGCTCCTCCTCCAACTCTGCTCCTCCTCCTTTTTCTCCTCCTCCACCTCCCCTCCTCCTCCGCCTCCTCCTCCTCTTCCTCCTCCTCCTCCTCTTCAATTCTCCGAGTGGCTCGGCTCGGCTCGCTGGCTTCGCAGAGACCCTTACTCCAGTCGCCAACTCAGCGCCCAGGAGGGGCGCCTTTGGCTGGGGGCACACCCGGGGGAGAAAAAAGGTCCCGGCATCTGGGCCGCCGCGGGCACCTAGCTGTTCCTGGGTAACCCCGACCCCAGCCGTCGCGGCCCGGGGCAGAGTTTGCGCCCCTGCTTTGCGCCCTGGGCGCCAAAGCCCCGCGAGCGATGCCCGCGGCGTGAAAGCGCCCGCGGCGCGCTCCGACCTCTGCCCTGGTCTCCCGCCCCCCTCGCCCCCTGCCCTTGTGACCCTGGCTTTGGCGCCGCCGCCCAGGCGCCCCGCGATGTAGCTGCCCCCACGCCTCGGCGGGAGGCGTCCTGGCCCGCGGGCGCCCGGGTCCCGGAGCCCGGCCCGGGGGCGCAGCCGAGCTCGGGCGGGGCCGGGACCGCGGTGGCGATGCACTGGGCCCGTTAACGCTGGCAGCGCCAGGCAGCTGAGGCGGGGGGCAAGCCCTTCCTCCGGGGAGCCGCGCCCCCGGCCCGGCCGGTCTCGCCGCGATGCTGTTCCACAGTCTGTCGGGCCCCGAGGTGCACGGGGTCATCGACGAGATGGACCGCAGGGCCAAGAGCGAGGCTCCCGCCATCAGCTCCGCCATCGACCGCGGCGACACGGAGACGGTAGGCGGGCGGCTGTGGAGTTGGGGCTGAGAGCTAGGACCTGGCGAGGCGGGCCAGCGCCTCTGCTCCCCTAAGTTTGGGGAGAGTCCTTCGTGCCGCACGGGACTCTGCGCTAGGATTCTTGGACAGAATGCAAGGCCCTTAGCTCCAGGCTCCAGGGAAACCCGGCTGCTGGGGCAGAGGAGGGTCGCAAGGTTGAAGTCCAGACCCTGGATCCCGAGGGTGGAGGAGAACATTGAGAGGAACAAGTGTAAGCGAGGTCCTACCCGCGGCCCCAGGCGGCTGTATACTCAGCTCGCGCGGGCACTCGGGTCCACAGTCCCGGCTCTCCACCACTTGGCTCCTGGTGTGGCTGCCCGCGCGCCTGGGGGAAAGGGCGAACCAGTCCGGGGTCCTGTGACTCCAGCCAGTTTGAGTCGCTCTCAGTATCCTGGCAGCCGGGGTTCCCTCCTTAGAACACTTTCAGGGTCCGGAGGCTTATGGGCAAGCACTTTTCGTTTACCGTGTCCTTGCGCTTCTGGCCCGCCAGACTTGGCCAGGCCATGGTTTGGAGTTCAGGCTCCGGCCTGGCTTCCGCGTAAGAAGACTCCATTCGGTACTCTGTACCTGGCTCCATCGTCCCAGCCTCAAATAGCCAGTTCCTGGTCCCAGCCCTCCCCTGGGGGACAGACCAGCAGACACTGTCCAAGCAACGGGCTCGGGCTCAGTGACCTTTAGAGACAGAACTGGGAAGCCGGGCTGAAGCTTCTCCCTCATAGAGCCAGAGTGGCAGCTGAGTGGCCTCCGAATCTCTGGCCCTTCTTCTGAGATAAACCTTCTTCACTCTCCAGTTTGGTTAGATTTGGATTGGTCCCATCTTGCACCCAGAGACTTTGAGGGTGCCCTTATATCCCTTTTAATAATTTCTCAAGACTCAAGTGGGACCCTAGCTGGTGTGGCAGAGGAGACAGAAATTGCCTCGCCTGTCCTGACCTAAACCTTCGGTCTAAGGATCCAGATAGCATCAGAGCTGAGACTCAAGGACCCTGCTGTCTGAAGAGGAGTGCATGTGTAGGGTGATTGTTTAATGCTCACCACACCTTACCCCTTACCCTCTTTTCTGGAGTCCAGCATCTTTGAGAAACAGTTTGAGGAATTCCCTTGGAGGGCTTGACTAGAAGAGCTCCCCCCCCACACACACACAACGGAAGCTTTCCTGGGGCAAGAGTAGTGGGGCAGGAATGCAAAGACATAGGCCTGAGAACCACTAGAACTGGAACCTGGGACTGTGACTTGGGCCTGAGGCTGCTTGGAGCTAAACTGCAAAACACTGTCCCTTAGCTGCTCAGATTTGGGGTGTTTGGGATGGAGACAGTGGACTGCCCTTCCAGGCTGTCCTGTAGACATTCAGGGATAGCCAGGGCCCCAGAAGTTGCTCTGGGCAGGTTCTTGGTGGCAGCACAGTTGCAGGCTGTGGCTAGCATGGCGGTTTCCTTCTTCCTCCCTTCACAGACCATGCCGTCCATCAGCAGTGACCGTGCTGCACTGTGTGCTGGCTGTGGGGGAAAGATCTCTGACCGCTACTACCTGCTGGCGGTGGACAAACAGTGGCACATGCGCTGTCTCAAGTGCTGTGAGTGCAAGCTCAACCTGGAGTCAGAGCTCACCTGCTTCAGCAAGGATGGCAGCATCTACTGCAAAGAAGACTACTACAGGTAGTCCCACCCAGAGCCCCCTGGCCTTCAGGGACCCAAACCTTGCCCTTTTCCTTTTCCTCTATTCCCAACAGAGGTTACCCTACCCAAGAGCCCCCTTCTCCATGCCAGCACAAACCAGGTGACAACTTTTTAAAGCAGCAATTTGGGACCGGAAAAATTGAAGTTACTCTCTGAGCTCACACCTCTGAAAAGAGGAGCTTGGGTGTGTGTGGTAGGGGTCCTTACTCCTTTCCCTTTGAAGTTTCTTGAGTAA